AGTCTGGAGGATCTTTTATTTTGAAAATCCTTTAACCGGATTCTCTCAGTTACTTTCGCGCCAACACTGAGCCCACAAGCAGCAAAATGAGTAAGAAACAGATCAGATGTCTTTGGAAAGCTTCTTGGCAAAGGGGAAAAGGCCCAGAGAAGAGACAGGAGGATGGATTTATCCCGGACCGGTAGGTGAGTCAAACATTAAGCCGCTCTGCGTAACATGCAGCGACCGGCTGCTAATGAGGCAATGAAGCTTCAAGCTGCTTCGCCACGCAGAGACCAAGCAGGCTGTGGATATAAGCAACACTTCGGGTGTCATTGTCTCATCACTCCCAGATGGGACCGTCTCATTGCAGAGAAACAAGCTCAGGGCTCCCGTTAGTCATTATCGTGAGTTAAAATTTTCACGAAAGTAAAATTTTCGTTTTGTGGCGCATCTGTATCTTAGTTTGAAGGGATATGTAAACCTTACCATAGCGACCAGAGAGCGTTTGGGCAGTGGTCGAGAGGAGATGAGTAGAGCTTGTGAGTCTTAAACCCATCACAGAGTCAAGGGATTGAGACAGATATCAATTTCCTTATTTCTATAAATATTAAATAATTCCCTTCTCAGTGAGATCTTCAAAACTTGGGATATTGTTTTAAAACCTAACTGTTCTTTAAACTTATCCACGTGTGTGGTGGCAAACAGACAAAATGGGAAAGAGTTCTTTGGTTGGCTCCACTTCCAGGCAGTGTGTTCTGCAATGTGTGTGTGTCTGCAGAGAGGAACGGGCCACAGTGGAGCAGCCTCCCTGGCTTCAGAGGACGGGCTCCCAGAGGCCCCTGATGGAGGAGGAGATGCTCCCAGTACAGGATCCAGAGACACCCAGCATTACCAGCAGCTCCACCTGCAGTGTACCAGCTGCCAGCAGCAGCATAGCTGTGGAAGAGGAAGATGAGGAAGGAGAGACAGCAATGATGGAGGAGCTGATCGTTCTGACTGCCGACACCTTGGCAGCCAGAACGC